GTGTCTGACCCTTAGCTGTTGACCGCTAAGCCAGGGGCCCCCCTCCCGCCAAGGAGGCCATCTTCCCGCTGGCCACATTTCTGTCATTTCCGTGATGGGCTAAGGTGTTGGATTTCTGGAGCTTAGTGACATCCGCCTTTGCACGAAAAAGGAAAGAACTCTAGCTGAGCCCTCTCCTGCAACCCCAGGAGAGCCCGGACAGCTGCCCGGTACTGACTTCTTGTCCCCACGGTCGTCCTTGTATGCATCCATTTAACTGGAAGCCGTCTGTGTGGTCGGCACGGTGCTGAGTGCCGGGAGGGCAGCTGGAGCACTGTGCGGTCCCTCCCACAGCTCAGGACGTGGTGACAGGACAGGTCCGTCCCAGCGGTCGTGGCCCAGGGCAGCGAGGTCGCCCCGGCTGCTGTGGGAACTCATAAGGGCACTTCCCCCAACTCAGGGGGGCTGCACGGCAAGTTCTGCCCCGAGGAGGGTGGTATTTAAGCTGAGAGGGGAAGCAGAAGTCTGCAGAGGCGGTGTAGTTCCCACCCGAGAGGGCGTCGGAGGCACAGGAAGGGGGAAGAAGGAGTGGTGAATTCCGAGCTGGAAGGAGCTTGTGACTGAGGGTGGAGCGTAGCAGTGAGTGGCGACGCAGAACTGGAGAGGCGGCGCTTCCTGCAGGGTCCTGTCGGCTCCTCGTGGGCTGTGCGCTTGACCCAGAAGGCGTGGGAGCCCCTGAAGCCTGGCAGGCAGAGAAGTGCCGTAGTTAGATTTGTGACTGATAGCCGTACCGGCTGTGTGTGCGAAGTGCCTTGTGGGTAGGGATCGACACAGGAAAGAGGAGTAGCAGAGTTGCAGAAGTGGACAGATTCAGGCAGTTTGGGCGGTAGAAGCAGTGGAGAGTCGGGGAGAGGGAGCTGAGAGCGTTCAAGGATGACACCCGGCTTTCTTTGCCGTCTGAGCGGCACGGGGAACGGCGATGACTCAAGTTGTAAGCATGTGTTCAGAATGCCGGGTGGAGCTTGGATCTGTGCGTCCGAAGATAAGGGGAGAGATTTATGCTAGGTTTTGGGTGAGTGGGAAGTGGGGTTCTAAGTAAGCCCTGTATTTTTCCCCTGCCCTCTGCCTGCCTCTGTAGGCACAGTGGACAGTTTGGCACAATCAATAACTTCAGGCTGGGCCGCCTGCCCAGTGTTCCTGTGGAATGGAATGAGATTAATGCTGCTTGGGGCCAGACAGTGTTGCTGCTTCATGCCCTGGCCAATAAGATGGGTCTGAAATTTCAGAGGTAAGAAATTCGGCCCCTTCTTGGGGTGTGATGACTTTGATCTCATCCGTGTCTCCAGCCTCGTGCTGCTCCCCGTGGTGGCCAAGCCCTCGCTGCCAGTGGTAGGAGCTCCTCTGGGCGGAGGCTGTCTGCTCTGGTTTTCCCCTCAGCACAGGCTCTTTCCGCTGAGCACTGTCACCGGGCTGCAGGACGATGCCACGGTGTCCAGAACCTTCGCGTTCCTCAAGATAGTTTCAGTTTTTGTTTTTCATATCTGAACCAAAGCATAAATTTGTCCATGAAAGACTGCCAGACAGTCACATAATAAATGTACTTTGTTCATTAGACCCAGTCTCTGAAACATGGGTCCCGTGGGGATGGAGAGAGAGGGTTGGCGTTAATGAAAGAAGCCCTCGGGCAGACTGAAGGTTGGGAAGCACTGGGTCGTGAGCCCCGGGATGGCTTTGGGAGCGCCCTGTGTGCATCTCTGCGTGCTCTCCACCGTAGGTATCGACTGGTGCCCTATGGAAATCACTCGTATCTGGAGTCTCTGACAGACAAATCTAAGGTACTCTGGGAAGGTACAGGGTCTTATACCGTCTGACAACATGGGTTTTTTTTTTTTTTCTTTAAAGATTGATTGATTGATTGATTGATTTGAAAGAGTTACGGGTGGAGCAGGGGAATGGACAGAGAGAGCGAGCTTCCATCTGTTGGTTCACTACCCACATGGCCACAACAGCCAGGGCTGGGCCAGGCTGAAGCCAGAAGCCTGGAGCTTCATCCAGGTCTCCCACATGGGTGGCAGGGGCCCAAACGCTTGGGCCATCTTCTACTTTCTCAGACCATTAGCAGGGAGCTGGATTGGAAGAGGAGCAGCCAGGACACGAACTGGCACCCACATATGATACCTGCGCTGCAGGCACAGGCTTAGCCTACAGTGCCTCAGTGCTAGCCCCCGATTTTTTTTAAAAAAAAAGATTCATTCGTTTGAGAGGCAGAGTTACAGAGAGAGAGAGGGAGAGACAGAGAGAGAGGTCTTTCATCCACTAGTTCACTCTGATGGCCATAATGTACAAAGTTGGGCCGATCAGGAGCTAGGAGCTTCTTCCGGGTCTCCCACGTGGGTGCAGCAGCCCAAGCACTTGGGCCTCCTACATGCTTTCCCAGGCCATCAGCAGGGAGCTGGATTGGAAATGAAGCAGCTGGAACTCAAACTGGTGCCCATATGAGATGCTGACACTGCAGGCAGAAGCTTAACCTGCTGTGCCACAGTTGTGACCCCAAATGTTTGTTTGTTTGTTTTTAAGATTTATTTATTTATTGCAGAGGCAGAGAGAGAGAAAGCAAAGGTCTTCCATCCACTGGGTCACTCCCCAATTAGCTGCAACAGCTGGAGCTGAGCTGATTCAAAGCCAGGAGCCAGGAGCTTCTTCCGGGTCTTCCACATGGGTGCAGGGGCCCACGGACTTGGGCCATCTTCTACTGCTTTCCCAGGCCAGAGCAGAGAGCTGGATCAGAAATGGAACAGCCAGGACTCAAACCAGTGCCCATATGGGATGCTGGCACTGCAGGCAGCGGCTTTACCCACTATGCCACGGCGCCGGCCCCCGGATGTTTGGTTTTAATATTGGCATTATTCAGTTTCTTAGATTGAAATACCTCGTGGAGAGCCAGTGTCTCATTCAGGTTTAGCTCCTTGGGGCTTGCAGAGAATTCCTACAGCTGGTTGAGAAGGATGTATGTGCTAGGCTGGGGAAGCAGTCACCGTGAAGAAGAGGGTAGTGTGTCTCCATGCAAGGTGAAACAGAGGTGTGTTGTTATTTGCCCGTGGTGGTTGGGATTGTTCAAGGTTATGGAACACGATGGAGGCTAGCCACAACAGTAGTTTCCAATGCATACAGACAGAACATGCCTTGAGAGACTGATAGGATGGGGAAGGATCTCTGGTAGCTTTTCTTTGTTCCACAAACGTTAGTCAGTTCTCTCTTTTTGGACAGGAGCTGCCATTATACTGTTCTGGGGGGTTGCGGTTTTTCTGGGACAACAAGTTTGACCATGCAATGGTGGCTTTCCTGGACTGCGTGCAGCAATTTAAAGAAGAGGTTGAAAAGGGCGAGACACGTTTTTGTCTTCCGTACAGGTCAGTATCCCCCAGTGCTGAGTGAACCTGTAGTGGGACCACATTGACCAGAACGGAAGGCACAGTAAGAACTGAGGCCTAACAGTTTAAGTGGTGGGAAAGCCAAAGATGGCGCCGTCACGTGACACTGATGGGCAGGACAGAATGTGAGCACCGCGTCCCTGGGTCAGGGAATGTTGTCTTAGGTGGTTTTGTGGACTTTCTTGGCACAGAGCTCAGACCTGGTCTCCAGTTTCAGGAAGGTTTTTCCCTGCAACCCTTGGAAATATATAGGAATGCTGCTTTTGGTCACATTTTGTAGAAGCCCATGGGTGGCTGGAAACCCTAGGCCAGGAGAGTAGGGCCGAGCTGCTCCTAGCACCCTCAAACGGCATTTCTTTTCCTGCTTCTCTTCCCCCTCCCGAGTTCGGAGATGCCAGGAAAACAGTGGGAAGTACTGTAGCCTACACTCATCCCCTGCTCCAGGCCTCTCCTCAGTTTGGGTGTGTGTCCTGTCCCTGTATTCGGTGGTGACAATAAGGCTCTTGTGACAGCCGCCTTGATTTTTGGCTTTCAAGCAAATCCAAAATACACTACGGTTCCTTGCCAAGAGTTCTTTAATAGATACAGTGACGTGAATGGTCCCATGATCATATCCTCGCCCGTCTGCCTGGAATGACTTCACTGGATCTCAGTTACTAATGAGCTCTGCTGTGTCCATCTGCAGGATGGATGTGGAGAAAGGCAAGATTGAAGACACAGGAGGCAGTGGCGGCTCCTATTCCATCAAAACCCAGTTCAATTCTGAGGAACAGTGGACAAAAGCTCTCAAGTTCATGCTGACAAACCTCAAGTGGGGTCTTGCTTGGGTATCCTCACAATTTTATAACAAATGACTTTTTCCTTAGGGGATGTTTGCCTTAAAGGCTTTAAAATTTGTTTTGTTTGCAGAAAGTTTAAATTTGGGTAACATTAAACAACATATGTTTACAATACCAAAAAAGAAAATCCACAAAAGCCACTTTATTTTCAAGTATCAGATGACAGTCTCCAGAGCTACCACATGCCATGTACAGCACCGACCCTTGTCACAGTTTTGACTCTCATCCCATGCCTGCCTTCCCTCTCCCCTGAAAACAACTAATTTAATTTTGTGTTTTTTTTTTTTTTTTTAACTGAGTTGAACTGAGATTGACGTGTTCTCACTGGACTTTAGCTCTCTCGACTTCCTGCACTTAAAATACGAAATAGAAACTTCTGTCTCCACTGAGAGACACGTTGGAGGCACACAGTTGGATAACGTGGGAAATGACACCTAAGCTTTGTCTGGTCACCGTGTGATGTGCTCAGACGCTGAAACTGAACACTTCTCCCTCAGTTCTAGTCCTGAATGTCTACTCTGCTCCGTGTTAGCGATATGAAGTGGTGTTTGATACTGTTTGAGACATTATTGAGAGATTTAATTATTTGTAATAAAAGATTTGCTACAGGCTGATAACTGCTCAGAGGTGAACTGTTGGGTTTTTCTTTAAAATAGAGTGCTTTGTATTCTGGGAGAAAAGACTTCAAGTGCAGGTACATGGAAATTGAAACCTGCTTGAGATGGGTTCCTTTTCTTTCTTTCTTTAAAAAAAAAAAAAAAAAAAAAAAAAAAACCTTCTGAATATAGAGAGCTATAGCACTCAATAACAAAACGATGTTAAATTAACTTTAAGATGCTCAGGTAAGGTTACTTGGATGGTCTATATTTGAGCCAGTAAATACTGAACATGTCTGATGTTTCCCTCTTAATGAAATTAGGTTAAGGAAATAGCTTGTTAAGCAAAAATAAAAATAGGCACAGAATTGGAATACAAAATAGAGTGCAAAAGAGACACTTGGAACCCTTGTGCCCTCGTGTGAAAGTACCCAGCGGCGGGGATGGCTGCGCTGACGGAGGCTGTTTGTGTGGTGGGTCAGCCTGCCTCAAGTGTTGGAGGAAGCAGCAGCCCTCAGAACGCGGGCTGCCGGGTGGGGAGGAACAGGCTGCTGCCGCCCTGGCGTGCTGGCTCCCACGCTGTGAGTCAGGATTGCGTAAGAGAACTCCGCGATGCTCTCCGAGGCGATGCCAGTGATACTCTGCAGATGGCCCACAACCTTCAGAAAGAGAGACAGGTTTCTGATTACTAAGTAATCTCAACATGTGTTAGTTCACAAACACACATGGCCTGGGATGTGCTCACACATTGCTTCATTTCTCTGGACCTACAGGGAAGATTAAATCCAGATTCCCATGTTTGCCAATGGCCAAAGTAGGATCCCTGGCCCTGACACTGCTAGCTAAACGTTTCCCTCCGCTGAAGGTAAACTTTGTGAAATATCATGGGGCTGTTTGGGGGAATGTTCTTACTGGACTCGACCACAGCAGTGGGCATCGCCCTGAAGGGAACTGAATAAGCCCACTGTGGGCCTCTGTGTCTAACTGCATCACTTTCAGTCCCATCCTAGTGTTTTCCCTGCACAGCCTACGCTCACATCCTAGCCGGGGGGCTTGGCACTTGTCTTCTGCGGGCTGGTGAGGGGATGCTCTCTGGCCCTGGATCCTGCCGGTGCCGGTCCTGCGCAGTGGTGCTTACCTGGCTCCAACACTCGCGGGTTTGGATGAAAGCACTTGCTGCGATGATTCCTGCTGCCAACAGCATGAAGTCTTCCTTCACTGAAATGAACTTTTCCCTGAGTGATTAAAACCATATTAATTTTGGAGCTAGAATGAAACTTGATCTTTCAAGTCTTATGTTGGTCATCTTGGAGTGTTTTGATTTGGAGAGAAACGGCCCCTCGTGCCTGCCCTGTTCATCTGGGATGAAAACATGAGCCTCAGGTCTGACCGACTTCCTAACAGATGTAACCGTGAGGCTTTCGACCGCTCTGACTCCACAGTAATCAGACACTTTGTCCAAGCTGCAGCCCTGTGACTGGCTTTTTGTTCCCCTCAGTGACTCTGAAAGCAGTCTAAGAATCTCAGGTTATAAGCAGAACTAGGAAAGAAAAATATGTTAATTACTTGAGGTAATTTAAACCTAAGAGTAAAAGCCTTTAGGGTTTTCCCGATCGGGCTCAGTCATCTGCATCCAAACAACATCTTGGTAGTTAATGAAAACCAGGTCACCTGTGCAGGGTACCCGTGAAGCGGAGGCCTGGCGAGGCTCCTTCTGCTCCCCCCGGTTCCTGTGGTCTGTGCTCCGCCCTCTGTTCTTGGAAGGAACCACGCCTGTAGGAGTTGCCTTACCCTTGGAGCTGACTGGGCGTGGAGTTCTCGATGGCAGCCCTAAGCAGGCTGTCATAAATGGGCTCATGCAGCAGGTAGACCAGGTCGAGCAGGGTCAAGCAGGTTGGATGCAGCTGTGTGGCTGGCACCAAGCAGCCGTTGTAGCCTGCACGGAGTACGGGCAAGGGAGGAAGCATTAAGTGCATCTCTGATCACAGCCACAGGTGTCTTGTGACATAAAGCTGTTAAGCTGTTCGTGCTTCCTGGTCGCTCTGTTCTATAAAAAGTCTGTTTAGCAGGTCAGTTATGAAGGACAAAGGGAGAGGCAGAGAAACCTCCATCTACTGTGTACATACAATAAAGTATATTTGTTCTCTCTTATCTTACTCCTCTCCTCCTCTCTATGAAGTCAACTCTTTGATCCTGCAGTTGGAGCATGCCTGGCGGGTCCACATAGAAACCAGCCGCAGGGACCTCTGGGCTGCTTTCCCTGACAGTGCCAGAGGAACGCCTCAGGCTTCCTCCTTTTCCTCACCGGCGGGCTCTGCCCACCGCTCCCGGTCCCTGGGCTGCGGGGAAGCCTGCAGCCCTCCTTCCCTGTCGCACTTAGTGGAGTACCTAACACCTCCAGGAGCATCTCCACGTGGGCCAGGGGCGTGGGCAGGTTGATCTGGAAGTTCAGAGACTTCAGGACGTCAAGCTCTGACTCCAGCAGTTCTTCTTTAGTGTACAGATACCCCAGAGCCTGGAGGAAATTCAAGACGGTAACGTTGCTGATTATCTGGGCAAACGGAAACAAGACGGAGAGGGTGTGAGGATAAAGGTCGCAGAGCCCGGCGGAGCACACCGAGCGCCTCACCTTCCTCACCAGTCTTCTCCCAGGAATCCCCCTCTGCTCTGCCCGTGAGCTCTGCCTCCCTTAGCTGCTGCACACGCTGCTTCCAGGACCTGGGTCTCCCTCCCACGCCCCTGCCCTTTTAATGGCACTTCCTGGACTGTCCGAGGCTGACGGACGCGCGGAGCGCTTTGGCACACTATCTGCGCGTGTGTCTTTTCCCATTAGGTGATAAATTCCTTGAGAGCACAGCCGTGTTTTCCCTGTCGCTGCCATGACACCGTAGAAGAAACTCGAGCTTTTGTTGAATGACAGGTCTTCCTGTACAGGTGCGGGGTAGTGATGTGGGAACATTTTATCCTTTACAAATGTAGTGGGTTGCCTTTAATGCTGATAGGTATGTTGGCAATTCAGGCACTTTATGTAAACTGTCCTTGAGTCCAAGGGGAGGAAAGGTGACCCGTGTGAATGATGGCACCTGCCCAGCAATTCTACCTTGGGAACAGAACTGCAGGCTATTTAGTAACTGCCTCTGTGTGGCTGTGTGTGCATGCAGAGGTATGCTTAGGAAGCCTAATCCTCTGGCATCGCCACAGAGGGAAGGTGCCGGGGCAGCCCAGCTGCTTACTTTGTAGTGGAAGGAGAGTTTGCTGGCCAGCTGAACGCATGACACGAGCCGGAGGACAAACTTGCTGAAAAGCTGCTCTCTGAGGACTCTCCAGGTCGGGGACTCTGTCTTCCCATTGCTGCTCAGCTGCACCGCGGCCTGCCTGCAGATCTTCTCTGCCTGCTTCACCATAAACCTGGGCGGGAGGGAGGGCGGGGTGGGCGATCCACACTCATACACAGCCAAGGGAGTCTGCACGGCAAAGCAGGCTACGTGTACTCCTCGCTGGTTTCAACTGGCCAAGCAGTCCACACTGGTAAACAAGAGGGGCAAAGCGGTGCTTCTGGGAGTCAGTCACCGCAGCCGTTCTGAGGTGCCACTCACACGGCCTGCTGCTCGAGCTTTACCTTTCTAGGATTTCGACAGCCTGGTAGCTCACGGATTTCTCCAGACACCATTGTTCAGACAGGAGAAAAACAAACTCTGCCAAAACAGGAAAGAAGAACGTAATTCACGAGGTGCAACCAAAACCGCCCTGTGAACTCTTGGCGCTGTATAAAAGCCGCGATCCGGCCGAGGGAAGAGGGTCAGGAGGTGAGGAAGATGAGACTGAAACAACCGGCCGAGCCGCTTGCTTTGCTGCCAGCAGGCAGATCAGAGGCACGAAGGGGAGGCCGAGTGGCTGCCAACGACAGGCCTACCAGGCCCCCTCCGGCCCTGCATCCCGTGGGTCTCAGCTGCTAGAAGGCTTGGCCGGGAACACATAAACAGACCCGCTGCTCTAACTGGCCTCTGCAGCATGCTGGGAACTCCCAGTTTCAAGGGCGATTTTTGGACGGATAAAAACCTTCACCCCCTCTTCTGTGTTCAGTGGAATGTTGGCAGGAACAGAAAGGTGCCTGCTGGAGCTTCGATACTCTTTATGACACTGTTTGCTTAGTAACCACCCTCCGAGAGTCCCCACTGCTTCACAAACACAGTTCACCTGACAGCTGGACACTGTCTCTCCACCACCAGCTTGTTGGGTAAACCTGCGCTGGCCGGGCCTCTCCCTTTGTGACTGTGGAGTGACATGTTTTGCAGAAACAGCCCCTACATCACGGAACTCAGCCCAGTCTGGGGGGTCACTGGGAGGCGGGGAGACACCTGGGCGAGATGTCTGCCTCTGGGTCCCTTGGAAGAACAGCACTAGCTAGAATCCTCTTTAGCTTGCAGTCTCATCAGAGGGTGGGAGGAGGGCAGACGTCAGTTCTCCACAAAGGAAGCTCCTGCAGACCTAGGAACTCAGCATTGCTCAGCGGTTACACATCCACTTAGATCTTCAGAGAAAATCTGACTTTCTTAGGGAAAAGGAGTCATGTGAAAAGACCAAGTTAGGCCGGCGCCGCGGCTCACTAGGCTAATCCTCTGCCTTGTGGCGCCAGCACACCGGGTTCTAGCCCTGGTTGGGGCGCCGGATTCTGTCCCGGTTGCCCCTCTTCCAGGCCAGCCCTCTGCTGTGGCCAAGGGAGTGCAGTGGACGATGGCCCGAGTACTTGGGCCCTGCACCCCATGGGAGACCAGGAGAAGCACCTGGCTCCTGCCATGGGATCAGCGCGGTGCGCTGGCCGTGGCGGCCATTGGAGGGTGAACCAACGGCAAAAGGAAGACCTTTCTCTCTGTCTCTCTCTCACTGTCCACTCTGCCTGTCAAAAAAACAAACAAACAAACAAACAAAAAAACAACCCAAGCTAGCGCACAAGGGTTTAACCTAATCTGCGCGACACTGCACACACACGCCTGAAACCTTGTCGTCAGAGACCCCGCTCTGCTAGCAGTGTCCACTCGCAGAACAGATGACTTGAGGCCATTCAGCAAAGTCCCCCAGAACACCTAACTGTGTGATCAGCCGGGCCTGCTGTCTGCTGGGCTGTGGGCTGCATTTCTTAGTTGTGTGTGTGGAGGGATGAGTGGTTTTCTCTTGGCTTCCACCTGAGTTACCTGCGCATTTGTTTCTATTTTCCATCTTAGTTTACCAAGAATATTGAGCTTGGCTTAAGTGAGATGGCTGAGGGGCACACCTCCCCCGCTCACATACTCAGGTCTTCCCAGCTTATCACAAAGCTCAGCGAATATTCCTGAATTGCTAAGTAGCACGGCCTTAGGAAGTCCTGCTGAAGCCTGAGCGGTGCTGGCCACCACCCTGCTTCAGACCCTCCTCTGGCTTCCCTCTCCCTGTCTCCCCAGCCTGCCCTTCTTTCCCTCACGGCTCTTCGTCCCACTCCAGTTCTCCAGAACACGACGTGCTGCGCAGGGAACCTCAGTGGGCCGGCTTCTCTTTATCTTCCCCAAACAAAAGTTGTTTCCTCCTGTTGTCTTTTTTTTTTTTTTTTTTTTTTTTTTTGCGGGGGGGTGTCTTAGGGCACGGCCACACTTCGGTCTCCTAGGCCCAACTCTAGAACTCTTGATTCCTTCATTTCTTGAATTGACCCACAGTAGAACCTAAGACTTTGTCTCAGCGCTATTTTTAAAAAAAAATTTTTTTTGACAGGCAGAGTTAGACAGTGAGAGAGAGAGAGACAGAGAGAAAGGTCTTCGCCTTTCCATTGGTTCACCCTCCAAGTGGCCGCTGCAACCGGCACACCACGCTGATCTGAAGCCAGAAGCCAGGTGCTTCTTCCCGGTCTCCCATGGACTGGGCCATCCTTCACTGCACTCCCGGGCCACAGCAGAGAGCTGGACTGGAAGAGGGGCAACCAGGACAGAATCTGGCGCCCTAACCAGGACTAGAACCCGGTGTGCCGGCGCCACAGGTGGAGGATTAGCCTAGTGAGCCCCGGCGCCGGCTGGCACTGTTTTTGATCCACCTCTTTTGTCCTCCCCCAGACTACTGAGACGCCCCTGGCCTGCCTGGCTCCCATCTCTCTCTGGTCAGATCCATCCCTTACATCACCTCCAAAATAACCGCTACTAAGGCAAAGGCCCCAGTCGTATCATTCCCTTGTTTAAAAACCTTCCCTCGGGGCTGGCGCTGTGACCCCATGTGGGCGCCGGTTCTAGTCCTGGCTGCTCCTCTTCCTATCCAGCTCTCTGCTATGGCCTGGGAAAGCAGTTGAAGATGGCCCAAGTCCTAGGGCCTGTGCACTCGCATGGGAGACCCGGAAGAAGCTCCTGGCTCCTGGTTTCAGATCGGCGCAGTTCCAGTCGTTGCGGCCAATTGGGGAGTGAACCAGGGGATGGAAGACCTCTCTCTGCCTCTCCTCCCTCTGTGTAACTCTGACTCTCAAGCAAAAAATAAATAAATCTTAAACAAACAAAAAACACAACTTTCCTGGCTTCTCGTTTCCCTACTGCCCCAGGCAGAAACGCCTCCCCTGGCGTTCAGACTGCCCCGTGGAACGTCGTCAGCCGCCTCTGGTCTCAGCTCAACACGGTTCCCACACCTCCGGCCAACGTGGGCTCCACTACCCGCAGGCACCCAAGCTTCAGTCAGGCAGAGGCAATGCCCCCTCTTCCACCTCCGCCCACCAGTCTACCCCAAACGCCATGCCTGAACCACTCCTTGTTTGTCCTACCCATCACGCCTTTCAGTCCCCACAAAAGCCAATTTTCTCTGTCACTTATCTAGTCATACCTGTACCTGGTCATTTGCTTAACCGTCACCCAAGGCTTGCACCTAGGTGGAGGGCAAAGGACCCTAGCGCTATTTCACCTCTCTAGACCAGCCTCTAACAGGGAAGAAAGCGAGGGCAGGGCGCTCCGGATCCTGTAGGTGCTAACAGGAAATCATTTGAATACACAGAATCCCAAGGTCGGTCGTCAAACAGAGATGCCCCAGTCTCCCCTAAACCCGCTAAACCCGGCTCCCAGCCCTGCGGCCACACCCACGATCCGTGTCTCCCTGAAGCTGCCCATCCGGCCCGCTGCCTCCTGCACTGCTCGCTCGTTCTGCTGGGCCAGGTGAAGCAGGGAGTCTTCAATCGTCTCTGTGGCAACAGCCCCAAACTGAAAGTCACTGACGGGGGTCACCCTTGGCCTCGCAGCTCCGTCCATATTCAGAAGCCTTTTGGGCCACCAGGACTGTTCATTGGACCCAGAAACCGGCCCCCTTTGCTTCTTTCCAGAATCTTCCATCACAACCCAGGTCCCTTGTTCTCGTCTCTAGTCTGAGGAAAACCGAGTTCCCTACATAGCCTCGCGCCTGCCACTGCTTTTACGCGACCCAACGGCCACGGTCCCCTCAGCCAATCAGAAAGCAGACCGCTTCCCGCCTCCTCCACCCTTCCGGTGTTGCCAAGCCGCGGCTCTACTCGGAAAAGAGCTCGCGAACCACAACTCCCAGCGTCCCCTGCGGCGGCCAAGGACTACTATTCCCAGCGAGCCTCGCGCCCAGGGACTCCGAAGGGCGGAGCGGCAACATGGCGGCGTCTGGAGCCGGTGACCCTCGCGATGCTAAGAGTGAAAAGGCCCCGTTCGCGCAGCGCATCGACCCGACTCGGGATAAACTGTCTCCCGCGCAGCTACATTTCATGCGGCAGGTGCAGCTAGCCCAGTGGCAGAAGACGCTGCCGCAGCGTCGGACCCGGAACATCGTGACTGGCCTGGGCATCGGGGCCCTGGTGTTAGCTATTTGTATCCATCCTGGATGTTGACTCAGGGAGACAGCAGGGGAAGGGGCACAGAAGCGAGTAGGAGGATGGCCCAGCGTCTGGTGTTTGGGTGAAATGCAGTTAGCACCCTGACCTTGTCATTGCTAGGGTGCTTTTAATGGGGTGTGTTAATAACGGAATTGGGGTCAGGTCTAGGCTGGGAGACTGGAATCACTGGTTGGGCGGATGGGAGAACGGGTGGCAGGGCAAGTCTAGAAACAGGGAATGCGCGTGTTCCAAGTGGTTTCCTGAACCCTCCTCCCAGACGGTTACACCTTCTACTCCGTGTCCCAGGAGCGCTTCCTCGATGAGCTGGAAGACGAGGCCAGAGCCGCCCGCGCGCGTGCTCAGGCAAGGGCGGCAGGACCCTGACCCGGCCGGGCCTCGCGCCTCTGCAGCCTGCTGGAGCCCCTCCACGTCACACCGTCACCCCGTCGACCTGCTCACAGCATCGCTGGCCTGCTTAGAGTCCTTGGACCATGACTGAGCCCAAGAAGCCGGAGGCTTGGGGGGGGGGGGGGGCCACTGCGGGGGGCCACTGCTCGCCTCCCACCGTGTACAGTGGCTGAGCCTTCTTGTAATTGGTTTCCTTGTTTGAGAGGTGTGTGACCTTGGCTTTTCTCGGACTTTCTGACTTGGTGGCTTAGCCCCTTGGCCTCCTAGGGGCCCAGCTGCTTCGCGGGTGGGTGTGGCAGCTCTGTGCAGCCTAATGTGGGAAAGGTGGGGTCAGGTTAACCATAATAAACTGAATCATCTCTCCCGGAGCCCATCGAGTGTGTGGGGGATGAGAGGTGCTGGAAGCTGCCCAGGCCGTGGCTGGGCAGTGGCAGTGCCCCAGGGAGCTGTAAATGTTTAACTACAGTTACTTTTTCTGTGAGATCTTTCTACCTGATTCCAGGGAGCGATCACTAGGCTGTTGGAGACTGAACCAGGACCTGAGGGGTCAGTCTTCCGTCCCCTGCCCACGAGAACACACTTTAGCGTCACTGCCTTTTGCCACCCCGAGAGAGGGGTGGATGAGGGGTAGGGGACAGCAGCCTCCATTCTTTTTAACTTTTCGCGGGTACCTGCGTGTCCAGGTAGGATCTGGAGAGGATGTCCACTCAGGCGGGTCACTGACCTTGCTGCGTCCTCTGCCCTGGTGACAGGAAGCCACAAAGCCAGGCAGCTGGCACCCCTGCCTCCCACTGGGAGAGGCCCTTCTGAATCCTCCCCTGGCCTCACCCCACAAGGCTTTGTCCGCCAGCTCCTAAGGCACGGAGAGTCGCAGTCCTTGTTTCCAGCGCTTTTATTGGCTGCTGCTGACTGTGGTGTGCGCACGCCTCTAGTACGCTCCCAGCTGGGAGCGGGCCCTCTACAAGCGGCTGGGCTGGGGTGGGCTTGCTTAGTGGTTGACCCTTGGCTGGGGAGGGAGGGTGGGCTGCAGCAGTGGCACCCCACACACAGCCAGCAGTCTCCCCATGCTTGGCTCTTCGCTGTAATGGAGCTGCCTCCTCCATGCCCCCTGGCCTTCTACCCCCTCAGCGCTGGGGTCTTCCTTGCTGAGTTGTGTTGATCAGAAAAGCATCAGATTCTGAGAGCACAAGCCCCATGGTGGGCCCTGGAGTGGGGGGACACCTGGCTTCACTGAATTCACTGGAGGGAAAAGAGAGGCCGCTGAGGAGACCTCAGGCTGGGAGGGGCGACGCCGCAGCCAGGCGCTGTGCCCTGGGCTCCCTCCCTCGGGCCCGCCCTCACCAGCCTGCCACTGCCAACATCGACAGCCCCGGCGAATGTCACCCCCTTGCTTGCCCGCTGCTCCTGGGAGCCGGTGCTGCTGCCACTCAGAGAGTTCCTCCGCAAGATGCCTGAGGGCAGGGCGGGGGAGGGAGAGCACTGCGTGAGGGAGGGGGCTAGTCCCCCCAACCAGGGGCAGACCCCCAGGGCCTGAACGAAGAGCGAGCCGCAGGGAAGGAGTCTCAGGAGAAAGGTGGAAGCTGGGCGGCCGCCGTCTCACCAGGGCCCAGGGGCTCGGAGCGCTGCAGGCTGTTGCGGCGGGAGGTGGGGAAGCTGCCCTTGGACAGGCGGCGCTGGCGGCTGGACAGCATGGCGGCCGGAGCCACGATGCCCGGCGGGGGCTGCTTCCCGAGCCGGCTGTACAAGTCCTCAATCTCCTTTTTCTGTACCGTCTGTAGTGCCTCCACCTCGGCCAAGTGCCTGAGGACGCAGCAAGGGGGCATGAGAGGGCTGGCCACACCCTGCTTGCCCAAGGTCGCGCCTCCATCCTCCCGGGAGAGACTCACTTCTGCCGGAGACTCTGCAGCTCGGCCCAGAACTCCTCGTCCTCCCCGCTGCTCTCCGAGTCCTCGCTGCTCGGACACAGGCTGCTGTAGGAGCAGTTCATCCACACCGGGCTGGCGTAGCTCAGGGCTGGGGGGCTACCACCAACTCGGGGTTCCTTCCCAAGGTCCCCTTCCTCAGCTCCAGCCCCCAGGCCCTCGGTGGCGCGGTCGCTCTCTGCCAGCGCCTCCCTGGTCTCTGGCCCGCCTGCAGCGCTGTCCTCCGTGTCGGAGCTCTCTGAGGTCAGCTGGGGGGTCGGAAGCTGCAGAGGACTGGAGAGAGCTGGGGGTGTGGGTTGCGGCTCAGCTGGTTCTTTGGAGGAAGTCACTTGGAAGCGCCCGACAAGCTGGGGTTTTGCCTCTGCGGGTAGACAGGGCGGGAGGGAGGGAGAGCAGTCAGTGGCGACACAGAGTGGGGTGGGGATGATGGGCAGGGGCAAGTCCGTGGTTGGCGAGGTCTCACCTTCCGAGATGGGCGCCAGTCTCGCTTCACCCAGGAGTGGCCGAGCAGGATTTGGGCAGGCCTGAACAGTGCGGGGCCGTGAGGAAGGAAGCGGTCCAGAATGGAGCCTCCCTCACCCGCCCCCGTGTCCCTACTCACCTCACTCTCTGCCTCTGCCTCTGCAGGGCCCTCCTGGCCATGAGGAGCAGGGGGGAGAGAAGGAGGGGCAGAGGGCAGACTAGGTAAGGGACACGGCAGGGCAGAGGGAGACTGGGACAGGAGGCTGGGTGAGGGGGACAGCAGAGACTGGGCCACAGTCATCACAGCCAGGGAGAAGGCACTTGCCAGAGAGAGGAGGGGGGCGGCAGGGGGGGCCAGGGGAGGCGGGGAGGGGCTGGGAGGGAAGGAATCAGGATTAGAAGTGACTTGGGAGCCACTGGGAGAGAATGGGAGTGCAGCACCAGGTGGGAGGGAGCTCTGGGGAAGTGGGGAGGATTGGGTGGGAAACAGGGGCGCACTGGAGGAAAACGGGAGTGGAGAGCCGGGGGGCTGTGGAACGGGGCTCGGGGAGACCTGAGAGGCGATGGGGGAGAACAGGGAGAGGCCGGGCTGGCAGAGGGCAGAAGTAATGGGGAAGACGGGACCTGGGAAAATGGGGGTGCCAGGAGACAAGGGGGTGCCAGGAGACAAGGGGGTGTCAGGGGCTGGGAAGGTGGAGAAGGCTGCCCAGCTCCTCTGCTCCGGGGAGGTGCCACTCGGGGGCTCTGCGGAGGAGGAGGGCGTGTTGAGATTCCAGTTAGTTCCCAGGCCCCGCGCCCTTCCCAGGAGCACCCCAAGGGCTGGGCTGAGCAGGGACAGAACCCAGAACCTACCACTGCAAGGGTCTGGGAGGGGGCCCGGGAGGGCAGGCAGTGGCGCTGGCTCTTCCTGAGGAGAGAAGGGGCCCTGGTCACAGCAGGAAGAGCAGACTTAGGCGAAGGTTTCAGATCGGGGCTGTTAGGCTGGGGATGCCAAAGTGTGTGCTGCGATGTTCATGGTAAAGGAGCGTGACTACAGCTTTCTCTGAGTTCAGGGGGGAAAAGGGTATATTATAAAGAACTGGGAGAGGAAGAGGAAGATAATGTGGCAAAACCCCAACAACTGGCACATCTGGGTAAAGGGTTATCTAGGAGTTCTTAGTACGATTCTTGCAACTTCTCTCTGCAAGTCTGAAGTTATTTCAAAATAACAAGTTAAAAGTATGCATTCAACACATTTTTCTAGAACAAGAGTCGATGACTTTCATCATGTTCTCAAGTGGGGAAACAGCCAGTGTTTTAAGGAACCAAAGGAATTGGATCCAGGGGAGACTGTTGAGGGCAGAGTGGTGAACCCTGGAGCAGAGTCCATTCCTCCTGCAGACGTCCACGGGGGCCTGACCTGGGGGCCCAGGGCATCGTCAGCAGCCTCCACAGGGCCGGTGTCTCTCTTCAGCAAGGTCTCCACTCTCTGGATAATCTCCCGAATCCGGCTCAGGAATCCATCTCGCTCCGAGGGCAGAATGAACTCGTTATACACCTGACAAGGTCAACGGGAGGAGGAGGGCGACCTCAGTTACCTGACTCATCCCTCTCTCCCTCCTCCTGGTCTTTAGAGGCCACCCCTTCAAACCACTGCTTCTGCCAATCACCAACGTGAGGAGTGCCTACTGTGGGCCAGGTACTGTGGGGTATGGAGAGGAGCCAACGTCGACAGGATGCACGCACTCACAACTAACCGCTTCACATCACGGCCACGTTCAACTCCAACCACAAGTGCGTGGGGGCCACACTCATGTCGCCATTTTGGGGGTCAGCCAACCAGCG